CTCAGTTTCAAGTTTTGTTCTTCCCTCCCAGCTCTCTTCTGTAAGTAATCCATCACCTGATTGAATACTGATTGAATCAGAGCTGATATTTATAACAGACTCTTCCTAAGAGAACCTGTCTTACACATGTCTGAATCTGGAAGATACTATCCAATCACTTCTTCATAACTGTTTACTGAAAATAAAGATCTATTACAATTTTTGTTTTTTGTTTTTTAAGCAGTCAGATCACACTGTGATAACAAATATTTCAGCAAAGAAGTATTTGAGATTTTTGTTGCATACCTTTCATATACACTGACAAGCTGGACTGCACGTAACTAACATGGCATGACTTGATACTGAGGAGTCACAAGCTGTGCTGTGTGGCTGATAAAGATGACAGAATTATCACTGAAACTTTGCAGGTATAGAACTCTTTACGACTTGCCCTGAATAGGCTGGATTTTCAAATATGTATTCAATGGGGAAAAAAACAACCCATTAAACTTTCACAAACCTTTTTTTATAACCACACTGTGAAACAAATAACTGTCTTCACACAGAAACTTTTCAGGCATTGGCTTCCTAAATGTAACTATTGCTATAACTAAGTATCAAAGGTTAATAATAGTACGATCATATCACCAAGCAAATGCTTAGAAAATATTATAGTTGTTAAGGCTTTTAGGGTTATTTGGTATCTGTGAAAAAAATATAGAAGCAATACAAAATATTAAATAAGAGGCAAAACATTTATGTAGTATAATAAGAACTATACAATGTTATATAAGATGCAAAATATATATGTATAAAAAGGTGACATTACAGATGAAATTTTTCCAAATAAAAAATTCTTTCATTAATCTATTATTATGCAAATTATCTCGCATAGAACAATTATTATGCAAAATTAACTCAGCTTGCTCTCTTGTTTATACGCTTGAAAATTATAACCAGTATGTTGTGTAATCTGAAAACATTGATACTGTTATTGTATCTCCATCTGCTAGCCAGCCCAATAATATTATAGTCTTTCTGTGCCTTCCATGTCTGCAAGATTTCTCACTACAATCAATACTAATAACTAAAGCCATTAACAGTACCGTAGAAATGCTGACATTGCTTGGTAAGATTGATGCATGCCATGAGTAACAATAATGGTATTTTTGTTGTTTAGATGGAAGGAAGTATGTAAAGAATGCTGTTTGAAAGTGCTCATACTTTAACTGACAAAACAGACATAAATGTAGAATATGTTTGTTGTCTGCTCACATAAACTGTTGTACCACTCTTCGAATGACTGATTATTGTCAGTGTGTGGATTAAGATTGAAGACATGGGGAGCATATCAGTGTGAGACGTGCTCCACATGCCAGAGCAGAATCAAATAGTTCTGGCTTCACAATAACATTTGTTCACCACAATGCTGCAATGGTAAAGAAGCTTCTGTTCTCTCCACCCACTTTAACTGGCAGGTCCATGCACCTGCTGGCTACTTTCACTTCCCAAAATCACACATTTTCTTAAAAAAGGTGTCAGTTTCAAGCAGTGAAAGATATTCAGTGTTAAGTGACAATGGCTTTCAACATTTCAAAAACTTTCTGGCAAGCTTGAAAAGTTTAAGAAATTTTGAAACTAACAAACTGATGAAAGAAGGATGCATTTGAAAAAACAAAACAAAAAATTTCAGAAGTTACATGTGTTTTATAACAGTTGTCTCAACACTTTTAGGTCCCATCTTGTATATGATAGCAAAATCAACTATGCCAGACTTTTCCCAGATGAGTTTAAACATGACTTTAACACTGTGTAAACTTCAATACAGTCTCAAAGTTTATTACCCATAATTTGTGCACAAATCTTACAATTTATGTGCTTATTTCTGTCCACAATCTTACTATTTATGTGCTCATATCTGTCCACAATCTTACTATTTATGTGCTCATATCTGCTAGTTTATTTGCTAGTTTGTACTTAAAAAAAATCTTCGGACTCGTTCAACCTGCCACAAGAGCCCGGTTATATTTGTGTCCTGGGTTCTTTGTGGTTTTCGCTTCGATTTGTTCTTGTGATGTGGGTTCATGCCTGATTTTACACTCTTCTGTTGCAAAATATGATTTTGGGTCTCTGCTAGGTTCAGGTTTGTGCTGTTTTGGGCAGGTAGCCTAGTTGCCCTGTGAAGGACAAGGTTTCCCTGTATCTTAAGTCTCTTGTGCTGACAGTTGCAATCATTGGGGGGGGGGGGGGGGGGGGGGGGGGGGGTAAATAGTTTCTTGCCCATTACTTACTATTTATATGCTCATATCTGTCCATAAATCTCACTATTTATGTGCTCATATCTGTTCACAATCTCACTATTTATAGGCTCATTGCACAATCTTACTATTTATATGCTCAGATCTGTCCACAAATCTCACAATTTATGTGCTCATGTCTGTGCATAATCTTACTTTTTATTTGCTCATCTATGTAAACAAATCTCACTATTTATGTGCTCATATCCATACATAAATCTCACTATTTATGTGCTCATATCCATACATAAATCTCACTATGTATGTGCTCATATCCATACATAAATCTCACTATTTATGTGCTCATATCCATATATAAATCTCACTACTTATGTGCTCATATCCATACATAAATCTCACTATTTATGTGCTCATATCCATACATAAATTTCACTATTTATGTGCTCACATCCATACATAAATCTCACTATTTATGTGCTCATATCCATACATAAATCTCACTATTTATGTGCTCATATCCATACATAAATCTCACTATTTATGTGCTCATATCCATACATAAATCTCACTATTTATGTGCTCATATCCATACATAAATCTCACTATTTATGTGCTCATATCCATACATAAATCTCACTATTTATGTGCTCATATCCATACATAAATCTCACTATTTATGTGCTCATATCCATACATAATCTCACTATTTATGTGCTCATATCCATACATAAATCTCACTATTTATGTGCTCATATCCATACATAAATCTCACTATGTATGTGCTCCTATATGTCCACAATCTCATTATCTATTTGCTTATATTTGTGCAAAAGTCTTTCATTGTTTCCCCTCATGTCTGCCCACAATCTCATTCTTTATTGACTCACATCCAGGCATAAATGTTCCTACTCATGTGTTCACAATCTCTATTCATATGTTCATATGTGCCCTCAATTTCACAAATTTTATGTTGTTTTCATCTGTTTGCAATCTGTATACAAATCTGACAATTTGTGTGTTCATTTCTGTGCACTATCTCACAAATTATGTGCCAATATCTGGGCAGAATCTGTGCACAAACTCACAATTTATCTACTTATATCTCAGCAGAAACCTGTTTATGTGCTTACATCCGAACACAATCTGTGCAGAAATCTTACAAAGTGTGCTCATATCTTTATACAATCTATGTAACTAGCTGTATTTACCATAAAACACTATATATTCAAATCAATCAGGTGCCATCATCACAATGAAGGTTGGCTGCTGATATATTCAATCAATCAGGTGCCGTCTCCACAATAAAGGTTGGCTGCGATGGATCTCCAATCTGCTCTGTCTCTTGTCTTGTAGTATACTCTTCCAGATTGCTGTTTGTCCATCTCACGATGCTGTTCTCCTACTTGCATGGTTATCTAGCCAGTGCTATCCTGCTTTCAACTTTTCCCTCCAGTATGGTTTTTAAAAGAGTTTTATTCGATTTTTAATGTTGAAGAATATTTCAAGTGTCTCTTTTTCATTTCTTTTAGTAAACATCTTTTCAATCGCAGTCTCCCTAGAATGATTTTATTTTATTCAAGAACAGACATCACAGCACTCGGGGCATTCCCATAAGCACTCCGTCCCCATCTTCAGCAGCCAGCGAAGAGTTCCGATACTAATGGTGCCAACAGCATTCTGATTAAACGTTCGTCTTGCCTTTACTCTGAGCCTCGAGCATCTGCTAGAACCTCTTGTCACTCCCCACTGCATCAATCTCACCAGACTGTGGTGATCCATCTGCTCCTCCGAACTGTACACGCTCTCCCACAAGGCACTAACCACATCTGCCTTATCATGTATCAGTATTCCACCAAGGTGTGCAGAGCCAGCCAGTCTGCCTGCCTGTTCATTCCCCAACACACTGGCGTGCCCCGGTGAAAAAATCCAGACAATACTCCTCACCCATGTCCTCGGCAGTGAAGCATGCCACACTGCATGAAGCATATCTGTTCTGATCTTCCTCAGCACGCTTTCTAAGTCAGTTACAATAACGATGTCTCTCCAGAATCTCTGTATTTAACTGTTTTTGTGAAATACAGTCTTCTATTCTTTTGTATATCCAAATTTTCAGACAAACTGTTTTTCAAGCTCCTTGTTCAAAAGGTTTCTGCACCATACAGCAAGGTTAAGTATTAGATCTTCATTCACAAAAAGAGAGCCGGACTTTTTTCAAAAATGACCTTGGCTCCCAGGTCGACCCAGCCTTGAGTGGGTACCGGGTGCAGTCCCGGGAAAGTTAAGGCGGCCGGTGTGATGCTGACCACATCACCCATCTTGTGCCGATTGGTCTATAAAAATATAGGTCTAGCCCTATATGCCCGATGGCGTGGAAAAAGGTCCTTTCTTTTTTATTCACAAGAAGAAACTGACAAAGGTTGCTTAACTTAAATCAACTTAGCATTATACAACAATGTAAATGAAGCCTATCTATCACAATTAATTTTTAAAAAAAAGCAGTTTATTAAAAACGCAACAAGCATGTTTGTAATTTGAAACAATAATTAGCAACAAAAGAGACACAAATAAAATGCACACATTTAAAAGCTATAAAAAAAAAAATTACCTTAAGTAAAGAATACAGAATGAATGACTAAACTAACAAACCTTATCCATTTATAAATATTTGCATTTACTGAAGCGATAGTTCACAATATATTCTCTTGTGATAAAATTCTGATGAGTGGATAAAAAATTACTACTGCAGATGCACTGAGTAATTCATCACCGGACAAGGAGTAGAAACTGTATTAAACTGGATGGCAGCGGCAATGTTTGCATGTTTTTCATGAAATTCTTCCCATGCCCTACTTGGCTAATGAAGTTCCGCAGCACTAACTTGCACTGGTGCTGGAGAGTTGGGGGGCAATGAGTTTCTGCGTCCAATAGTTCAAGAATCTCAAAATCCACATCACTATTTGACAGCGCCATTCGGACAGAGCGCATTTCCCATAGTCCAACACCTGCTTGAAGAACCAGTTTAACAATTTCTAAATTGCCATTTTTGGTTGCCCAAAACAGAGGAGACTGTTCTGCAGACGACCATCTTACTGGGGTAGACAACGGACTTCCGTGAATAATAAGGTGTCGAATGATCATGGAACTCACCCGATACATGAGTGCAGTGAGTAATGGAGTGCATCCAAATTTATCCATCTTGCTGACGCTAGCACCATTATTGATCAGATACTCCACCAAATCTGGCATCTGCTGTCGAGATGCCACCCACAGGGCAGAGTGACCTTGGTTATCTGTCATGTCGATATCTGCTCCTTTTCTGACCAGAGTGACAACCCCTTCTAAGAAATGAAGTCGACATGCTGTTATAATTGGTGGCTCCATTCTTCCCAGATTGTCCTTACTAATCATATTCAGATTTAGGTTGCCAACTTTGGCCTGATGTCGAAGAAACAGATGAAAAATATCAAATCGTCGTCTATAGAGTGTTAATGACAAAGGAGTGACATCTTTAATATGAAAGTTAAAATCAAGGTCAGGGTAGGAAAGCAGTACGTTTCGTACCCTAGTCAAAGAACCCACTTCAATGGCTGCAAACAATTCATAACACAAGAATGACTGAACATATCTGTTTGATGTTTCAAAAGTAGTTGACTGAGAATTCTGTTTACATTCAAGAACACGTGTTGGGCTGCCCTTGTTTTGCACAGCCACAGTACCCATGTTTACAGTGTATGGTGCAGTGAGAACAACAGAAGAACTTTCAGTTTCCAGGCCAATCAGCCCATGGTCCATTCTAGAACTTGGCATTAGGTGGACAGGAATCTGCAGTTAACAACTTTCACATCACCACATCTGCAAAAGATTTCCAAATATGCATTATTTTAATACAACTAAGTATGCATGTAAAAGAAAATTATATCAAAGCAAAGATAGTGATTGTATATTTTATTTTACCTTGAACAAAGTTTTATATTTTGTTTGTAAAGTTGCAAATCTTGTTTTCAACACTATACTAATAGCTGTATGCTAATGTTAAGTTTCTGCATTTTAAGGTTTAACATAGTGAGCAGAAAAATGCTCAGTAAAATCACAAACAGCGGTGAATGCTGAGGTTGTGACATCCTGGACAAGTGACAAGCTTTTATTTATTGTTAGGTTTATTTTACTGTTATACTGGCTATTAGTCGGCTCTGTGGCTAAGTCAATGCGACCACTTCGTAATGCCGGGTCGATCCCAGATATAGGCCATGCGCCTTGCGTTGGTTTCGACAGTGGTATCAAGAGAGCCGCCCGTCCCGAAAGCAATGGCAAACTACTGGACGTACATTTGCCTAGAAAAACCACACAAAAGCCAGGGGTTGTTTCTGCAACATCCTGTTAAGGAAATGCAACTGACCTTAACTGCCCATTAGCTAAAAGAAGTGATGTTTCTGCATTATGGGCACATGTCAAGAACACACCTGGCTTTCCTCAGCAGTCTTAATTTGTTGAAGTTGCACATACTGTTTCAAGATTAATCATTTCATGCCAGGATAATATTATATTCTGTAACTGCCAGAAGATATTAGGGTTTTTGACTTTGACGGTGATAGCTATTTTGCAGTGTTAGGTTTTAACTGTGATGGTGATAGCTATACTGCAGTGTTAGGTTTTAACTGTGATAGCTATATTGCAGTGTTAGGTTTTAACTGTGATAGCTATATGGCAGTGTTAGGTTTTAACTGTGATGGTGATAGCTATATGGCAGTGTTAGGTTTTAACTGTGATAGCTGTATGGCAGTGTTAGGTTTTAACTGTGATGGTGATAGCTATATGGCAGTGTTAGGTTTTAACTGTGATAGCTATATGGCAGTGTTAGGTTTTAACTGTGACGGTGACAGCTATATTGCAGTGTTAGGTTTTAACTGTGATAGCTATATGGCAGTGTTAGGTTTTAACTGTGATGGTGATAGCTATATGGCAGTGTAAGGTTTTAACTGTGATGGGGATAGCTATACGGCAGTGTTAGGTTTTAACTGTGATGTTGATAGCTATATGGCAGTGTTAGGTTTTAACTGTGATGGTGATAGCTATATGGCAGTGTTAGGTTTTAACTGTGATAGCTATATGGCAGTGTTAGGTTTTAACTGTGATGGTGATAGCTATATGGCAGTGCTAGGTTTTAACTGTGATGGGGATAGCTATACGGCAGTGTTAGGTTTTAACTGTGATGGTGATAGCTATATGGCAGTGTTAGGTTTTAACTGTGATGTTGATAGCTATATGGCAGTGTTAGGTTTTAACAGTGATAGCTATATGGCAGTGTTAGGTTTTAACTGTGATAGCTATATGGCAGTGTTAGGTTTTAACAGTGATAGCTATATGGCAGTGTTAGGTTTTAACAGTGATAGCTATATGGCAGTGTTAGGTTTTAACTGTGATGAGCCAGAAAATCCTGAGATGGAAGGTCAGTTACATTTCTCACCAATCTTCGGTTCCAGACAACTGAGAAAAATTGCTGTGTCCTCCTCATCATGTACCCAAAGTACCATAAATGTCTTCTAGAGTATTTTCTTTATTTCAATTTTCTTTGTTTAATCTCCTGTCCTGCCATAATATATAATATTCAACTTGTTTCATCTAACTAAGTTTCTTTGTTCAATTTCCTGTCCTGCCATAATATATCATATTCAACTTTTTTCATCTAACTAAATTTCAAGAACTTCAGTTTTATTCTCTTTTATTAACTGTCTTTGTTTCCAAACAACCTAAGAATGAACAGTAATAACAACAATAATTCAACTCTTTGAGGCCCGAGCAACACTGTGGGTGTTGATTGAGGAGTTCTGATTTGCCCAAACAACACTGTCAGCGTTGATCATGTGAACCCTACATATTGCTTCACACATGGCTTTGCATTTGTTTCTAATGTTCCGAACTACCATTAAAGTATTCAGGGAAGGTTACTCTAACATTTTCCTTTGAATAACATTCTGTGTTCCAAAACATGTGGGCAGATTGATCTGGTTTGTAGATAGCGATGAACAATGCATCTTCTTTTAAGTGCCATCACAAGTACAGGCCGCAAAATGTGTCTTTCTGCAGACAAAATTCAGACATTGTCAGATGTTTTTAGTGTTGACAATGATAATGAAAATTTAGATTTTTCTGTAAGTGATTCGGTCGGTGAATTTACACCAGCAGCAGCTGAGCGACCAGATGTTTGGGAATCTAGCAATTCTGATGAGTTTGACACGGAGAATTTTCCATTGCTATTGTATTTAGGGTGTAATAGAAGGAAAGTTCTCAAAACAAATAGACAGTTCTATACCATGTCTTAGCTACACTGAAATCATTGCAGCTTTAGTCTGTATATAGCTGTACAAACTAAACAGTAAATAGTTTGTGTGTAATGGCCCATTTTCTGCCATTTTTTTCTAAAAGAACTGAGCCCTTGAGTGCTAAGCTAACCCAGAAACTTATCATAACTTTGGAATTTGTTAGGAAATTGAACAAAATGTAAAGTATTATTTTCTAATTTGGATATACACTGCTCTTGTGGCTGCAAAACCATGGTGAGTGAAGATTAGATTGTTGTGAAATTAACACCTGCTGAATTATTCTTTCCTACTAACTATAACAGTATTTAACACATACTTTTCATCATATTCAAAATGTACATTCACTTCTCTTTAAATATATATATATATACATATATAAGATCGCTATTGCCTTTTTTGAACACCACCCCTTCTGCCATTTTTATAAAGGGAAATTAATGTTGGCCAAGTCTGTCAAAATTCATGGGCCTGAAAAAGTTAACAGAAAAACACACACACAAACACTCATGTCCTTCATTTTTGAAACTTCCAGCAACAGCTTCTGTTTAGGTCTATGCCTAATGTTTCCCTTGTTGGATATCTAATTATCCCAGATCCACATTTTCTTGTCTTATTCCTAGTGTTGACTGAAGAGACAGAAATGAATTACCATCTATCCTCACAGTTGAAAAGAAATGAATACTTGACTTATTTCCAACATTAATGTTACTAAAAGAAAAAGTATATGAATCATGACCTCATTCCATATGAGAGTTCAAACTAAGTTGACACTCAACAAAACCACCATTCCACTAAAGTTGAACACAGCGTGTTCTTTAAAGTATGCAGAAGATCTACCACAAATACATTTAACAGCCATAATTCCAAACTTGTGAGTCTGGTGTTAGAAAAGAGGCATAATGTACTAAAGACAAAAATAATATGAAATAAGAAGTGTATCCGAAACATTTTGTGGCACTTGCTTTACTTCCCAGCCTGAAAAACCTCTCTACTGCTAACACCAGCAATGGAAGATATGCCACAGTGAGTATTTTCAGACAAGAAAGGTGCAAGATTCTGTCTTGTCTGGTAGTTTTTCATTGTTTTCTAAACAGCTGGTGCTGCATTCCATTGTCAAAATCAACATTAAGCAATATTTGCCAGATTGGCTGCAGCTGAATTGAACTAAGTATTTTGGAGTAATAAATCATGCTTAGCCAAACCAGAATAACCTTGCCAATCATAATGAATGACTCTTTCTGATGTTTATGATGGCTGTCTTTAGGCCTTCACCTCTTTAAAAACATCTGGATTACTCATGTCCGCTGTCCAAAGGCATTCTTCTGTAAAACCAGTTCTGAGACCTCAAGCAACTGGTGGCTAGTTTACTAATATTATGTAGTGATTATGTTTCTAATCTTCGATGACCAGGATTTATTGCAAAAGAAGTTTTGCATCTTATAAAATGTAGTTTCTGTCTCTTGATGTTCTTTATCTGTGTGATACTTCTTCCATCTAACATGTGCCGAGATATTTAAACTTATGTACTTATCCCAAGATAATATAACTGTATTAATGTTCACAAATATTTTTTAACTGGCACACTTGTTATCACAGTCCCATAAACACCATGTGCCACTGGCTCAACAGCTGCTGTTGATTGGTGGATAATTTCCTTCTACTTCTGTTGGTCAGTTGCAATGGATTCAATGTCTGCATACTCAAGGCCTGTCGAGTCAGCCAAATTCTGTCAAAAAGTGACTTGGTCTGCCTTTTCCTCTCGACAAAGCTCTGTAGTATCCCATTGGATGGCTGGCAGATCTTCTCATATGTCTGCACACTTACATTTTCTATCTTTTCACTGTCTGTAAAAGAGATTCACAGTTGCAATGTGTTTAGTAAAGATAATTTTTTTGTGATGTGGTCTCTGTGTGACGTAATAAGGATCTTTAGAAAAGACACTTCCAATGACTGCCTGTTTTTTTTTTTTTTTTTTTTTTTAAATCTGGGATGTTAAAGTCTACGTTTCACAGCTATATGTAAAAACGATGTCAAGGCGAAGTATAATTTATAGAAAAGAGCCCAACTGTGTGCTTCGTAAACTGGGATTCTCAGGGACTCCGTCATTTACTCTATCCATCACTTGCATGATCAGCCTCTTCTTCGCTTCCCTTCCCATCTGGTTAGTACATCATGACTTGTATACTTCTGCAGACATCTGAGCTATATGGTCAAACTATTTCACCTATTGTCTTCTAATGAAATCCAGAGCTGCTACCACTGCCACTTCCCTACAGATTTAATTGTTTCTGACATTAACTCTCTCGGCACTCCTTTGATTCATTCCCTAAAATGGTGGCATGCCACATTCTGGCCATAAAATATCCAAAAATATCCGAACGACGGTGTTCGCGTACATCTAAAATACGGACTTTCTGCCGAGGAACAAATCGTGGCAAAACTAGGATTACTTGACAATCAATATCAACATTT